ACTGTCTCTTTCATTTAGTTTTGACTGCCTGTGGGCCGTCTTTCTCACAAACATTCTGAGAATCCCCAGAGAGCTCCTAAATTAGCTTAGAAACTTCTCGCAAGGAGTCCCGGCTAAGGAGTGATTTAGAAACTATATCAGAGCAACTCTGAGTGAAGAAGGGGCAGAAACGTTTGTCTCAGTGAGGAGGCTAGATGACTGCATTGCTAGGTAGGGCACAACCCCCCTCAGTAACAGGCATAGAAGAAATGAAATCTGATACAATATCATAGTGACAGACATACAGTAGTGTATATCAGTTACTAAAATGTGGATCTGACATAGGAAGAATGAAATGAAAATAAGAATAAAGCAGAAAACGTCAAATCATTGACACCATTCTAAAAGCACATTTTCAAAGAAAAGGACATCTTACCCTGAATGGATCTGATTTCACCAATGCCAATCTCTAAGAACTGGTGCCTAGAAGAAGAAGAAGAGAGAGAAGAACTTTACTGATCCCTAAAGAGAAATGTATTATTTCATCCTTACTTTACATCCTTACAGTGTTATACAAATCAATTGATATTTCCATCCCATGCACAGCCATGTTTGGTCTCATGTAGTAGTCAGGTTGTGAAAAAAAAATCAGGGGTGATGGTGGATTTTATTGGTTGGGATAGATTTTTTGTTCTGCTGACAGTGCACATGGTGGTTAAGCGTTCTTGCTCAAACAATCAAAATACAGTGGAAAAACGCAGGCGTAGTTGGATAAATATGGTGATAGTGATATTTATTTACAGCCAACCTTCTGAGGTGCAGTGCAAAAATATTTACAAAAGCGCAAAAATAGTCAAATACTATTTACAAAATGTACAAGGCAATCAGGAAAATGCCAACAAGACAGGAGTTTCACTAAAACTTAAGAAAAAACAAAATCAGAAACACAGCAGCAATATAATCAGTTTGGCCGTAACCTTCCATGTAACAAACTCCAGACTCAAAGAAAGGCCCAAGCAGTCTTCTTTTACCCAACCTAACCCCTCCCTGTGGGCGTTATTAATTACACAAGTTTAGAAAAAACACATTTATTCACATTTAAACCATTTTGACCATTTTCAACTTTCAGACCTTTTTCTGTAAGTTTTTACTAAGTTTTTACACAAATCAATGGAGCATTAATTTTTGGTGATTCACGGCAAATAACAAGGGAATTAATTTTTCTTGCATCATGTGACCACTTTGACCCTCCATACCTATCTATTTTACACCCGGAAATCACGCGCTCTGATTCCCGTTTGGAAACCTGAGTCAGCATGATGGCGTGGATGGACACCCGGTAAGTAAGTGGAGAGATTAATATGTATGTGTATGTTTAAGTTAGCCGATAGAGCTCCATCTGTGCACCCTTGGTTACCCTATCCAACAGAGAAGAGTGAGGGAAAAGTAGCGCTGTTTGGTGGGTATTTAGCGACGCTGGCGGGGAGGGAAATGTTTGGCGTGTATAAGTATGTGTGTGTACACGTCAGGCTCCATGCGCTGCCCCCGCTCAGTGAGGACGCCGCTCCTTCACACCCCACTAAACGTTGAAATCGTGGTAATATTTTTAATGTCGCCACATTTATTGACCATTTTGAGCATTTTCATTTCTGCCATCCCCCCTCAACTCCAGTAGGGGAGAGTGGGCTAAGTAGAACCATCCCTTGTTGCTTGGAAATGGTAAAGGAAATTGATCATGTGACCAAATATTTAGTTTTATTAGAATTGTGTTCAGACCAAAAAAGATCATTTTAGATTTGTTTTATACATCAATTGTGGTATCTATGAGCTACAACATGAGGTCAAAAACATAAACATAAAAGTCCACCATTTTAGCTTAGAGGACTAATAAAGGCATAACAGTTGGGATACGGCTCAACTTACCCCGCTCCTATGGTCAACTTACCCCATACACGGGGTCTCCTTGACCATAGGAGACCACTTTTTTTTGCATGCTATATTATCAAGACAGTTATGTTTACACTCACTCTGTTGGTTTGCAGGGATGAACAACATCTTGAAATATATGCAGATACACTAGTTACAGAGAAAACTATGATTGCCTTGTTGTAGCGATCCGATATGTGAAAAATGGCTCATCTTACCCCAATCTCTCCTACTGGTCTCATGATAATAAATCCTAGATGATTACCTGTCTTTTCATGAAGCAGAGAAAATTAACAGTGGGTCGGTGTGACAACAGAGAATATGTTTGTTCGGGTCTTTTTTTGTTCTAACATGCTACTTTCTTTTTGAAAGAACAGTACAAGTCTAAATTATATTTCCACCTGATTCATTCCCCATTCCTTTGAATTGAAGATGCTTTACTTTTAGTACGGTACAGCAGTGTAACTCAGTTTCCAGCTTACGGGCTTTGGCCTGAAGGAATTTGTTGGCTTGAGTTCTGCCAGGAGTCTGGTTCAGTTATTATCCCTGCAGAGAGAACAGAACTCTATAATATCGTTTCCCCCACCTCTTTGCCAGACTTAAGTTCCTGCTACTGAACGTGCAGTCCTCCCTGTACATCTGAGCCATGAAAGAGGCAAAAGTGCAAGGCAGCCGTCGAGGGAGTCACTTCTCTTACGTAAGACCTCCTCTCAGCATTCTGCCAGTCAGGAAATTGTAAATCCACATGAAGCAGACATTTTTACACTTGCAGATATGGAACTGGCAATATGCCGCACCACACAGATGGAAAAGTGTGTAAAACAATAGAATTAAAAATGTAATTTCAGAGATGAAAGTGTCCAGCTGTGCAATGTATTCCTGTGAGGACTGAATCACTATCAGGAATCCTGCTGAGGTGTCTTTGTGTGAATGGAGCATTTCAGTCAGTTCAGGGTTGTTCAGCCATCTCCCGTCAAAGGTACAGTAGGGAGTTTTGATTTTATGATTCTAATGAAAAACTGCATAGTGTGGGAGCAAATCAACACAAGATCTACTTTTAGCAGCCCGGAACATATCTGAATATATCTAAATATGAACACAGCTTCACTCTTTTGTCCCCAGTGAACCAGTGATGCATTCACACACTTGCATTAACAATAAAGTGATGTTTTTAAAGAGGGGGAGTACTAAGTCAGTTAGTGATGACAGAAATATAACATGGCAACAGGTCGTGTCATCATGCAATAAAAAAACTGCGAGAGCAATAAAGTTAGAGACGCTCTTTCATTCAGCCGTATGGTTTTTCTTATTCCACATCTAAAAATTGAAGAAAGTGGGTAAAACAAAAGCATTCAGTGAGGCAGGGAGCTCTCCATGGTCCTCTGGATTCACAGGTAGTTTACAGAAGTTTACAGGTATCGTATCCCTGCTGTCAGTACAGAAGTTTCTCCACTTTTTCCTTGGTCATTTTTTTTCCAGACTCATTTTTGCTTTGTGAACTCTGGCTCCTGTAGGTGTTCTATTGCGTCCACAGCAAACAACATAATACTGTCAGTCTGTCGGTCATTTCTTACTGAACTGGTTGTATTTTCAGGTCTCAGAGTTCTTTCAAAGCTCTGAGACCTGAATAGCTTGTTAGTACACTGCAGGTGGAAGGACAAGTTTGTGCCACATCTATGGATGAATGGCAGAGTAAAGTTCTGAGCAACTACAAGATGAAGCATAAACTGAGATTTTGGTGGTTGATGTTCTATCTTCCATTCTAGTTTGCTCCACTTTTTCTCACCTAAGATGGTTGGGGTCCAGTAGCTCCTCAGTCTGCTATCCCATCTATGCCCACCCATCATCATCATCATCATCCCCATCATCCCACTCTCAAGACCAACCTGAGATGAAAACTGATGTATCCGTATCAACAGGCAGAGGGGAAGTCTGCCTGACTCCTTCTTGATTTGATATGACAAATGTTGTTCTCAATGTCGCTTTTGCAATTGAGAATCAAGCATCATAAGAACAATTTTTACTAATTGGAACAAAGTATTATGCTGCGTTCGAGTTACCTTGAAAGTAAGGAGTCCAAGCTGGGAATGACGTCACACCCGAGTTACCAGTGTAAGTCAAAAGAAAGCAAAATCGAAGGTGGAAACAAGATGGCTACATCTACAAAAGTTATTTTAGTGCTTGCCTTGTCCGAATATAAGCAAGGACAAGGCAAGCTAAAATAGCTTTCGTAGATGTAGCCATCTTGTTTCCACCTCTCATTTTGCTTTTTTTTCAACTTTCAAAGCTGGTATAACGGGTGTGACGTCATCCCCTGCTCGGACATCTGACTTCGAGGTAACTCAAACGCAGCACTAATCAAAGTCATTATCTTCTTTCCATGACAGTTTGGATGTAGATCACCCCGCTGATGTAGGTAGTATAGCAGTGGTGTCAGCAGATTATTATGCTGGATTTCAGCAAAATCTGACCCTTCTTATTGTAAGTCACAGACCCATAGCTAATGAGATTCTCGCTATCGGAGGATTATGATGATCTGGTTCCCTTTGTACAGCAGCGCAGCCATTTTACATACATTCTTTATCAATTTGGCACACACTTTGTCAGCAGCGGTTGATAATACTCCTGTGAACCCCTCCCTAAAAAAAATTAACTGAAGCCAAAGAACCATAATATGATTAATGATGAGAAACATAAGGGGCTTTGAGGTGTCAGAGTTTTTCTTCTCTTTGAAGATAGTCTCATCACTGAGAATATTACTTGGTGGAATGCTTCAGAGGATTGCCGTCCATTACACTTTCCCAATGATGACAGGGGATTAGTCCAAATGACAGGCAGTGAGACAGGCAGGGGGTCGCCCGCAGTCTGGACAATTTATTTTTGATTACCCCTCTAGTCTGCAGCAGAGAAATATCAGGGTGCTTCATCACGCACATAGCTGTATGACTGAGGAATGATGAGGCTTTCAAACAAAGAAAAGAGCTTACACTCCTCATTGTGTGGAGTCTTCTGCTGCAAATCACTTAATATTACATCTGATGACAGGCTTGTGTTAGATATGATGACAATGTGTGAGCTGGCGTAAGTGGTACTCACAGAGATAGAGGCCACTCAATCACACAATGTCCTTTAGCTTACAGCAGGAGAAGGTCGTTCCTCCTGCCGCGCCGCACTTGATTTTCACAACACATCCCTTACAGCTGGGCAGAGCTATGATGATGAAGCCAGGCGTGACGGGCTTCAATGACCCTCTCTCACGTGAGTGTTTCCCATGCCGCCTTTATCGAGCTGATGGTTCCTCCTGCTTGCCTACATGTCCGTCCCTTTGGATCTTTTGGAAGGCGATGAATGCAGTGATGAGTGAAGGGAAGCAGGAGGCAGCTGCTGGAGATGGAAGCAGAGTGCTGCACTGGGAAGCTCAATGAGAATTAGGTCATTACCCAGGGCAAATTCAATAGATGATTAGAAAGAAATGCAGAAAAATGGGCTGCCCCCCCCTCCTCCTGATACCACTGCTGCGACCCCACACAGGACTCACGCCTCTAATGAATATTCTTGAGGGTCCCTGCTGAGTGTTCATGAGAGAGACTTTGTAGCTGTCCTACAAGTCAGAGCTCAAAGGAAATGATATATCTGCGCAGTATTAAGTTATTTAATGAAGTTCTTCATGTTATCTTCAAAAAATAAAATAAGTTAGGAGAAAAAATTTACACATTAAAATGAAAAGTGTCTTTAAAAAAAATTACCACAACTCACCTCACACATAGACTGACAGCTTCTGCAAAGTTTTGCACATTTAGGTACAATAATGTCTTTTAAATTTAAACTTTAGCCTCTTTTCAGTTTGAAACATGTTGCTTCCCATAGCAACAGTCTCTTTCTTTCAGTCTTGCTTGACTGTGCTGGCTTCCTCGGCCAACTGAGAAAGATCTGAGTATTAACCTTTTTCTTTATCCCACAAAATACACAGGGAGTAGTTTAATGAAGTATAAGAACTAGGTTTAGCTAGTTTGCTGGTGGTGCCAAAAATTGACTGATGGAGTTGTTTACATCAGTCCACAAACCCAATATTGTCAGAAAGTGTAAGTGAACATACACTGTTTATACATACATGGTTTTACTCAAAATAAACTAAAACTTACCCTTCATTAAATGTTTGCCTCAAGATTTGATAATGGCCGTTGTTTAGCTCCCTCATCAGAAGCGCATTATCATTCATCCACAACTTCCTTCTCTCAGGGTTTTCGCTCTTTGAAGCACAACCTAGGCTTCCCCCTCATCAGTTGTTGCATCCATAGATATGAAGAGTAGACACAACATGCCCATTTAAGCTGTGTGCCAACGTAGCAGCCATCTTGGCGGGGGCATCGTTCCAATTAAAGGAAACACGTACAATGAAAGTAAAGCATTACTTGATCATTTCCTCAAAGTAATAATCACCATATTAATCATTTTGCACTGCAGATGCGGTAGTTCTTCTGCCCTAGCGTCTCTGTCTGATTGCATTTCCATGAAGAAATGATCATAAATGTTCTTCCTTGAGCTGCGTCACCCCGCTGCAGTCGGTGACGGACTTGTCCGAGGGCTCGCTACAAACAAGCAGCTGCTGGAAGAGAGTGGGTGAGTTGTGTTCAGTCTCTTTGCAAAAGAAATCAGGCAAAGCTAAAAAGATGTTTGGTGGCTAGTGCTGTGGTTGGGACCCTATATGAACTGTTGATGAAGTTAGGTGCTGTTCTGAGCATTATTTGTGGCTGTAGAGTGACTTTTTGGTTGAGGTTTGTGCGTGGTCCTCAGACCGCTGTGTATTGCTATTGTGTGGTTGTTACAAAAGTTGGTGTAACTAGAGAAGCAAGCGGTCGGCAACATTCCTCTCTTGAGGGGGTGTCTTACTCAGTGTTACTGTGTGTTTGACCCTAAATTAATTTTACGCTGGAAGATCCCTTGAAATGGGAACGTTGCCCCTGCCAAGATGGCTGCCACGTAGGCATGACGCTTAGCGGGCTGCTACTGTGTGCTGTTGTATCTAGTCTTCTATATGTGGTTGCATCCACTTGAACCACAACTGTCAGGCTGTTGGCAGCCTTTCTTGCTTGCCAGGTGGGCGGTTCTATAAGTGCGTGACATCAAGTAAAATTAATAAGCTCACATTTTGTGCCAGATTTTATAAGCATAACTGATGACACTGCAGTATATGGTGGGGACAGCTGTACTCTGCTTGTTTTGCAAGTCCCCTGGTGTGGTTGTCATTAGAGGGTTTAAGCTATGACAAGCAGCACCCTATCTCCCTCACTTGAAAAACTGCTTTACTGTAATGAAATCCCAAAGAGATTTAAATGAAAGTATGACATTCACTGAAGGCTAAACGGCAGTAAATGTGAAACCATACTTTGACCTTTACTAATAGGCCACACCCTCCTGCAAAGTCACCAGTTGCTATTGACAAAAATGATATAATACACTATATTCAAATGTGATTTAAACAAACAACAACTGTGACACAGTCTTTAAAAAGACATTAATATCAAACTAGAGAAAAAAACGAGTTACTTTCCTGTTCAATCATTGGTTCATAATCTCGTATTATACATTTAACCTTTGCTTTCATGTTATTACCAGCATCACGACCACTGGGGAATGCAATGCATACTAATTAGAAACTTTGTCTTGTGTACATTGTAAAAAACTCTCTCAGAGACACAGGACAAGTCAGTAATCGGGTTACGCTAATCCGTCCCTTCACCAGTGTATCAGAATGCTAAATGAAAGCTTAGTTGAATGACAAAGCTTTGAAATTCACAAATCTCTGGGATTAAATGACTTTCAAGAATTAGACAGTTTGAGTGCAGGGATGCAGGATCTGCAAATATGGATATCCTTTTACTCTTATAAAGAATATAAAAAGGCTGACAACAGTGGAAAATGGATTGAAAAACGCAGCGAGAAGCAAAGACAAAAAGACATTGTGTCTTTTGCTGACTTTGTCACTTTATAAATGCACTATGAGACGGGCAATCTATGATAATGGTATTTCAGCAGCACTTGATTGTCTGAAATACTGTTAAAGGCAGATAGGATCTGTGGAGGAACATTTACATTGAAGTTTGCCATTTTCTCCCGAGGGATCGCCTATGTGCCCATATGTGCCTATGATGCAAATTTGTGGAACAGACAGTCTGTGTAGTCCGTGTTAAACTCACATATTACATTTTCTTCCACAGAGTTCCTTCTCCTCTAGTGAGACAGTCTGATTACAGGCTTGTAAATCAAATCCAGGAGAAGTAAAGATAGAGTCTGCACGAAGGGTTTGTTTTCATATTAAACCAAGAAGACAGGGAGGGTGAGGGTGCCGTCACATTTGGTAAACAACAAGGAAGTGAACCCAACTGCAGACAAAATAAAGGTCTATTGGACAAAAAAATCAAAAAAGGCAAAACAAAGAAAAACTAAATCATGTCATAGCTAAACCAAACTTACAAAAAATGCTTAAAGGCACCTGAACATGGAATCTACTTTGTTATAAAGTTCAGTTAAAGGACTCCTAGATCCCCAGGTTTATTGCCCCATGTCCCCCCTTTTTGGCTTCAGTCAACTTATATCCCATTTTGGAGTTTAGCTCTAACCCATCGACAACAATATAATGCACTCAGCAAGTGAACAGAAATTGCAGTGAAGTTCACTTTGGATGGCAGTTCGTGGTGATGGATGAGTCCAACATTGCAGGTCTTTAAGCTGGACGCTGTGGTTTGAGTCCTATCTAAACCAAAAAACACCAAACACCACAAAGACAAGACGTTTGGATAAGTCACACCTCACCCTCTGCTTCACCTCTACTAACAATGGCTGCCCATTGGTATAAAAATCTGGACTTGCTGTAATCTTCAGTTGTAAATAAGCTGATTGTCAGTTTTTCAGTTTAGTGTTGCACATTGTTCTTGCCATGATACAGGTGTTTGATATCAGAGGATGTGTCTGATAATGTTTTGGACTATGTGGCCATTAGACATTATGTGTCATTGTGTAATACTATTATGAGTGTAATATAGAATACTATTGTATAATACGGTAACACGTAAAGGGCCCGATTTTCATTTATGAAAGAGGAGCCCTGCAGAAAAAGTCTACGATCAACTGCCTGATCACAATCACACATTTTTTGTGTCTTGGAATTACAAAATAGACCTATGAATGTTGATCAGATGAAAGAAAGAAAATAAGACACTAACCCCAACTGACACTGGTCTTTCTACATGCACTTTCTTTGCCAACAGGCCTTCTCCCGAACCGGAAGGCTTTTTTTTTTTAGTAGGATCAACTTCTCAACCTCTTGGTCACTTCTTCGGGTTCTTCGTCATGTTGCTACTAGCAGCGCTTCCCTCCCTTGTCGCTGTCAGGTAAAACCGAGTAGAACACATTATTTCTTGTGAGCCAGCGCAGGAATGTCGCCCCTCCACACCAAATACAAAAATACCGAAAACTGAAAAAAAATGCAAGTTGTTTGAGGAGCCGAACAGCTTAATCAGCGTTGCATCATCTCCTATTGTAGTGGCTTGGGTGAAACGGATATTTACAGATATGTAGATCTTACACACTATCGCTTTAACTTCACCAACAAACTGCCATAGTGAGTGTAGTCAGGCCTTGAATCAGTGGATCAGAGGTTCATAGAAGAGGTAGATTCTGTATTTAACGCAGGAAATCCTGGGTCTCATGGCTCCAGCTGTCCAATAGTGCTCTGAAAATGCAGCTAGTGGGTGTTAATGAAGAAGGGAGCTCCAGACCAAACCAGAGTGGACACGGTTCAGAAAGTCAGGAAAGCTCTAAAGAGACACAGAGACTGTAGGAACAGTTAAAAGAGTTAGCATTAATTTTCTAGGGAGAACTGTGACAGTGTTACACACAAAACATATTAAATCTTGGATTTGGATACCTTTACATTTTTTTCTTTGGCCTTTGCATGTTCTCCTGCCATGTGTCATTCAAAGCTGACCTTTATTTTTCTTGTAATCCCACACTGACTGACAAACAAATGAACATGGAGAAGTAGAAACTAGAGCCTCGCTTTGTGCTCTTCATAAAAACCCTTTTTGTTCAGCAGATTGTCCTCTCTTTCCCCTGGTTTTACCTTGTTTATTTTGGTTGTCTTCAGGTGGTCTGTATTTTTTCTTCTTGGCTAAACTCACATATGGTAACCCCCATGCCGTCAAGTCTTGAGTTAGACTGTGAGAGAATGTAATCAATCCACAACTAGAATATCACTTATAGGTGCACTTTCTTATGATTGAAATCTTGCCTACCCCTGTCTGACGTACAGGAAAGCCCAACCATCTGGCAGTGATGGTTTAAACAAAGATTTAAACATGACCCGGATGATTTGCAGCTACTATTTGACCCAGTTCCTCCAGGTTTTCCTTTAGCTCCTTGTTCCCCTGCCAGATGTTAACCAAAGCTAACTCATGACATTCATCACACAGCGGAGGAGGTCTCTGGGGTGCAAGTAACTCCTCTTCCTCCTCTCCCAATGTGAACTGTCTTAGGTCACAAATTAGTTACAGTCGTGTAATGGTGGTACAGAGAGGTTGAAAGCAGGTGAGACATGAGGCTTTATACGACTAGTCTCCAGGGATAGAGGCTGAGGATTACCATTTTTGAAAGGAAACGTTTATACTTCTTCAAAGTTGTCTCCAGGAAACAAGCAGTTTCTAACCCATGGGAAGAAACATGACAGAGAAAAGCACTTATGTGTTTCTGATTGTTTTTCTAAAGCTTTTATTGTCTTTGGTTTAAATATTCTTTAACTGGATAAATTCCTTTTTTTTTGGGTAGCAACTGGAGGAAACATCTGGTTTCGGTTTCTTGAGCGGCACTTAACAAAATGATACGTTTCATTCATTACCACTTTACTGCTCGAAAATTTACATAAAGTTCACTTAAGTTCCTCTCTGTTCCTGTCAGCCCTCCAGCCTCTGTCTGACTGTGGCTTCCTCATATCTGGCTTTAATCAGTCTCTTTTGTCCAAACTGAGAGTTATGTTCAGCGGGGTAACCCGAGGATGACGGCCTCCCAGGGGCCTCAGTACTCCTCCATCCTTGGGCTTTCCGCTCTGGCTTGATGGCTGAAGTCTTCTTTTTGCACTCTCTGGCAGGTGGGCGCAGTAAATGAGAAAACCATCTGACACAGAGACAGAAATGAGCTGACACGGCTTCAAACAGAGGGGAGGACAGTCTGAGGGCTTTTCCTGTATGAAACATTTAAAGCGATTACCACCCGTGTGACATCAATGATCAAGCTAAGAGTAAAGCTTACGTTTACTTCACAGCACAAAATTTAAATAGAAAATGACAATTGTTAAAAGGAGAAGTATCAAATCAGATGACTCTGATAAGGGCCATCACAATATACCACTACCTTCTTTAAAAAAATGATTTTGTGCTACAAGTAAGCATATAACAACACCATGTAAATAAGTGGTTCAATGAGGCAAGGCAGTTCTCTACACTGGTTGCCACCGGCCACTGGTCATTTCAGACCAGGCTCATTCAGGAACTGTTTGGTCCTTGTTTAGGAAAAGTGTCTGTGCAACATTTGAATAACTCTGTTTCAAAAAATAAAGAAAAGGGGAAAGAAAAAAAAGATAAACAATTAAGATGTTTTGTACGACGGAGTGTTAGGGCCACATTGAGAAAAAAAAAGAAGACTTGGAGATTAAAGTCATTAACTTATGAGAATAAAGTCATTACTAACGAGAATAAAGTCGTAAAAATGTAATAACGAGAATAAAGTCATACTAAAATCATGACTTACGAGAATAAAGTTGTAGTTAAATCATTACTTACGAGAATAAAGTCATAGTTGAGTAATCACTTACGAGGGTAAAGTCAGAATAAAGTCCTTGTACTCTAACCTGTCTTTAAGAGGACAATAGTTGAAACGAGAGCCATGAAGCACTTTGTAGAAATGTACCTTAATATAGGTTTCTCAAATAAGGAGATACTTAATCTTTTGGCACATCAGCACCACATTATTATAAGTATCATAATGATTTTATTATTAATGATTTTGTAGTTTTGTGTATGTGGGTGTTGGAAACTGTAGAGTGGGGAAATTTTGATTTGAACTTATTTTTAGCAGAAAAGTGCATATTGTTGAAAAGTTTTCTTTTTCTTCTGCAAACTAAAATCCTAACAGGATAAAATAACACATCGGAGGCTTACCTCACCCTGTTGGGATTCCATATAAAAATACCAAAACTTGAGCTGCCATCATACTTAATGTAAGGAAACTTTCACATCATGTATGCACTGTTATTGTAGGAGCCAGAAGTGCCTGTGGAATTGCAAGTTAGAGCAACTTCAGTGAGGCATGTTTGATGTTACCATAAATTAGTTGCCAGAGCATTTATACTGTATGTTTCAATTTATGGTAGATGGATGTCCCATTCAGGGCCTCCATTCATCTTAGGATCTGACAGCAACATGTCATCTGGCCACTCTCCCCTTCAATCTCCCAATCAGAAGACAATTTAAGACACCGGACCCCTCACCGGGCCCTGTTCTCCTTGCTGGTGAGTTATCTCTCTGTGGCTGTTTCAGAGTACGTTTACACGTGCCTGGCTATTTTCATAAATGGACATTTCACCCTCGCTGTTTTAAAAAAAAAAACTGTGTGCACACAGCTACGTTTTCAGAAAAGGTTTCGTTTTCACTAACCTGTGTATATATGTCATCTAGAACATACGAAGCATGTGGGTGGCAGTGTAGCAAGATGCTGAAGCCCACGTTAGCCAATCAGAATCTCGCATAGCATCAACAACAACAGCGTCCCTTCCAGTGTCCCCAGCGTTCCCGAAATCTCTACTCTAGCCAGAGTTTTTAAAAAGCATCGTTTTCAGAGGTGAATTCTCTGTTCGGTCTACATGAAGGGTACATACGATGGCTAATGTGTCAGTTTTTAAAAATAACTGGGTATGTATAAGCAGGGCCTTAAAGTGCTCCTAGACATCACACTAAATAAGGCTTACATACAAATTCCAGGACCACTCTAACCTACCTTATGCCATACATACAGTCAGTAAAGCAGGGTAACAGTGGCCAGACACACTGGTCAACACCAGAGTTCATCATGCCATGGGACACAACACTAGTGGCCACCACTTGGTTCTTCTTGCACAGCTGTAGTTACCAACTAGCTGTTGCAAGTTCATGTTGATGTCACAACAAGTTCATATGAAGCTAGCTAGATCACTTAGAAGAAATATGCATAGATAAAGATTGCCGACTGGAGCAACACAAAAATTATAACACCACAATCGCATGGGTGAAAACCAACAAATGTTAGAGTTCAAGGGTTTAAAATGTTAGCAGAAGAAATTTAGTGCACTGTGCAATCCCTCGGCATTGAACAAAGTGTGGGAGAGCTGGAAATCATACTCTCAATTGGTTTAACTTAAGTACTCCTCATAAGTTCATGACGTGCAACTGTATTTTTAGACAAGTGCTCACAGTCATTCTATCTTTGCAGGGGAAAGTTTCACGGTCTTGGTTAGAAAAAGCATAGACTATTTTAAAATATGAGCAGTCGTTGGATTTGTCTACTGTCTGTGAGTCAGACTCTGCAGTCATCATTCATGAATCACACTTTCTAAGCTCCTGAGTTGAGTGTATCAGGCCACTGTGGCCGAGCAGATGGGAAGCTTAGGCATCAGGTTACCTGGTGAAAGAGTTAGTGGAGGCAAGAGAGACCACATGGAAGTTTGACCTTACTCACTCTATATCTCCACAACAATAGCAGTTTATTGTGTTGCTATGGACTCTGCAGAAGGTTGTCTTGGTATCATAAAGGCTGAGATTTTGAGTCTATATGATTTTATTGAATTATTTGACTAATATAGTACCATACATCAGGTTTACCAAACCTGGGGCATGTAACATTTTTCTTTTGTACTCTTGGGATTCACATCTAATAAATTTCCCTTTGGGGATCAGTAAAGTTTTTGTCTTGTATTGTATTGTATAGACACCATCATGTTAGAAGTCATTTTTAACTTCTCTGTGACTTAAGAATCATTTGTATTAAGACAGCTACTCTTGGAGCAGATCTTTCCACTTTCCTAAAAATAATAACTGTAATATTAGGTGAATGTGATCCGATGCTGCTGTTGTTCTTATAATTGGTGACCACTGGAATATGCCAAAACCTCTCAGTTTCTGGACACATTCATGACCAAAATCCATATCAGATGCCTCTAGTAGGCGACGATGTAACTTGCCCAACAGAGCTGGAATGCAACCGTGACCAAATGCGCCAAACATGCATCTTGTGCGTTTTTGTCTATAATGTCAGCAGTGACACCTTGTTAGCATAAGCATTTGGACTAACTGTATCTACTCTATCTTCTCTTGTCATGTGTACCATGATTATGTGGTTTCTTCTACATTTCCTCCAGAAATTCTATGAGATTAGGGGAATTTTCATGACAAAATAACTTTTTTTAAAAGTCAAATAAAAAAGTTCCCTTAAAACTTTGTTGTTGTGTTCATAATAAAATTGCATTTTTTTATCTTCTGTGTGAAGTCTCAGGGTCAGTTTCAATTGTCAAAGAAAAAAATAATTTTAGTAAGTCATATTTAAAAGGCTAATATAAGTATGCTTTAAGAGCCTAAAGTTGCCAATCCAACCATGTATTCTCATGTAAGTTTATTGATTATTCAACAATTATTTATTATTCCCTTTACTGAATCTAAAACAACCCCCATTCAGAACTGGTACTGCGCTGCTCATTTTGAGCAGAAGGGTAAGTGAGTTACACAAGCATAGAAAAATGTTGGGTTGGCAACTTTAAGCTCTTAAAGCATATTTATATTAGCCTTTCAAATATGACTTATTAAAATTATTTTTCCTTTTGTGTTAAGTCTGGGGGTCAGTTTCAATTGTCAAAGGCAAAAATAATTCTAATAAGTCATATTTGAAAGGCTAATATAAATATGTTTTAAGAGCTTGAAGTAGCCAACCCAACATTTTTCCATGCTTGTGTAACTCACTTAGCCTTCTGCACAAAATGAGCAGTGCAGTACCAGTTCTGAATGGGGGTTGCTTTAGAGTCAGTCAAGGGAATAATAAATAATTGTTGAATAATCGTTAAACTTACATGAGAATACACAGTTGAGGTAAAATTATCAAAACAATTCTTAGATTATCTAATAATGAACGTTCACGGTTTCTTTGCTACTTTTTGCCCGCTGGCTAGTTATTTCTTCAGCAAAGAAAGAAAGAAAAAGGTTTGTGTGTGTTTGCGTGTGTGTTTAAGAAAACTGTGTATCCTCTTCTAAAGCTTCAGCTAGCAGTGCTTTGATGTTGAGACTACAAACCCTGAGGGACTACAGCTAAAGACAAGACATTTTCCTGCGTCCCACTAACCTAAATTTGGAATGAGGAAAAAAAACAACTATATTTAGACTTTATTGAAATTCACTGGGAATGGTAATGCATGGATCAACACCCCACAGCACAACAATCCCTGTCAGGTATTTTTTCCTGTTGAGTTCAAAGAGTGTTACACAGAGCCGGTTATTTTCTGTGCATCTTCACATAGCTTTAGAGCAACTATGAAAAGAAAAATGTTTGTGTGTTACATATTGTGTGTTTTACAAACCCATAATGGATGTATGTCTTGGTGATAAATCTACGCAGTATAACTATTTCTATAGGCTTCTTTTATATAGAATTACAGAGCATGTAATAACTGAGATCTGTCTTATATGAACAGTTGTTTTGGAAGCCAAATGTTAAGGAAGATGTAAAACCTTACAGATTTGGGCACAGATAGACGATGCAAAGCCTCTTGTTTTCTTTAGTTATTATTTCTCTGTAGCCTCTTGTATTCTTATAGATGCTCATTATTATAACAGTATTGTAGTTATGGTCTTTAAACAGACTGCAACAGACCACAAATGAATCGTGATCTTAGGGAAATAAGAGTTCATTACCTGTAGATAAAAACAAAATTTTGAGTCAGTTTCTCTCATAAACACAATGATTTCAATTCAGACCTCCCAATATCTTACAATTCTTAGCTAGTTTGATAATCTTCACCTCAGAATTGTTCCAATAATGATATCAGTGTTACCTTTGATAATGCAAGAATGGGTAGTGGCAAGTACACCAATCCATTCATCAGAGAGCACTAATTTCTGCCCTGAATAATGTCATTTTGTCAGAAATCATTTCTACTTTCCTCTACAATGCACCCAAATCAGAAACCTACACTGCCTCCAAACTATGCTTGACTTCTGGTAGGTTTATTTTGGCTCTCTGTGAGTAATATGACAAGATTCTTTCAGTAAACTATCCTTTAATAACATTTGTTATAAATTTGCCCCATGGAAATAATGATAAAGATATTATGCTGTTTTCAAACCATGGAAATACTTACAGGTGTAACTTACATTTCAGAGCATCTACATTAAAAGTTGGTGATTTTGCTTTGTGCCTTTAGTCTGTCGGACACATTAGAGATTGAGGCAGCTGTAAAGGTGATGCCTAACTTTAGGTACGAGTATCTGTTAAAGGAACAACAGAATGCAGGACATCATCTACTGCAACATATACTTCATTTGCAGGATACTGATTGTGGTGTTAAGGATTTTTGTGCCTTGGTTAATCCTGTTGTTATTGGCAACAAACGGCCAATTTGGCAATGTAGCCCTTTAAGATGTGATTTCAGACGTCATTCAGAGCGTAGATATGAAGTAGTATAGACCCACTTTTGCTTTGTAAGGGCAAAATGCAACTGACTGACTAAATACTTATGTTTTGAGTCCAGTCTGTTATTTTGTGTTGTGACCACATCTTTGAAAGTTGGAATTAAAAGTAAAGTCAAGTAAAACAGCATTACTTTTCAAAGATCAAAATGGAGTGCTTTACTGGCATGAAATGTCAGCTATCAGCAGTCAAGATCCAGACATATGGGCTCAGCAGCAATAAGGATGGTCTCCAAAGTGTCGTATAACCTGAGCCGTACTGGCTGTGTACAGCTTGTATGTAGTTTTATTTAGTTTCTTAGAAGTTTTTATGTGAGCCTCTGCTGTTCTTACACATGGTGCTGATATACAAAGTTTTTGTTTTCACAGATCAGAGAATAAGGTCGGATGCGAATAACATATTGAAGTCACATGTATGTAGTTAAATGAAAGTAAAAGTGCAAACTGACATTAAGTTTTGTATGGCAAGCCCCTTACTGATTCAAGTATGATGAAAAAACAAACTAACAAGTAAATAAATAAATAAACTGTTGGGTAAGTTTATAGTCAGCTTGAAGTACCAAAAGTGTCCTTTTCCAGCACAAGGCTTTATAGTGTTTATCATTAGCAAAGATGGCCATTTTCTGTGAAGTCAGGACCTAATGCATACCATCATCAATGCCAAATGAAAATATGATATTTAAATGAGCATTATACAGAGATTTTCAGTTTTTGTTGTCATGGTACGATTCATTTAGCCAACTTTTGCTACGTTCACACTGCAGGTTATGATGCACAATTCAGATTTTTTGGTTAAATCTTTTTGTGCGGTCGTTCACATTACAAAAACGAATGCGGCATCTAATGTGAACGGAATGCGTCCGTGCGCATGTTTGTGTTGTCGAACAATGGTGGTTGATCAGAAATCCATGTCTATTGATTGTGGCAGAGATTTTGCACACCAGGAAAATCTGTGGCCACAGAGAAGTTTTTTAATTATGATATTCAGGAGCATATCAACAGGGATGGCAAAGGGTGGCACTGGCCCCAAAATCCAAATAACCAATGCTATCAATGGCTATTTGCCTTGTTAGGGACAAGGAACAGCTGAACAGCTGTGTGATATGCACATAATAAAGTAGGCAATGAAGACCTAGAGGGCAAATGCAGTTAATTTATATGTGAGGCACTGCCTATGTCAGTGCCCGAGTTATACCTCTCTCATCAAAAAGTCTGAACATACTCCTGGTCAAATTAGTAAAAACAGAAAGAAATATAAATTTAAGGATATAATTAATGATTGTCATTTCACAAATTGTGAGTAATGAGAAGAATCTGAGTCACAGTTTGACCTCAAAAGTAGCACTAGTAGTCGTCTCCGTTGAGGATTTTAAACAACCTCATGAGCCGAACGGCATACCTCTTGCATCACAAATGTTCTCTCTCCTATTCAGGCGATCCCCATCAGGGAAATGCATGGTGGGTAATTTATTTTAACAAATGACCATCTGCTTGGCCGGTTTGTGTCAGGACACCAATGACCCACAGTACTTGGGTTGAACAGCAAAGGCTGCTGGGTCTTCCACATTTGACATAAGGTAGATAAAATCTCAGGGTAGATTTTTTTACACTCCGACTTTAAATTCTATAATATTGCTACAGAGAATAATACACATGTGGTTGTATCAATTTAGTTTTGTGACATAAATCTTTCAAACTGAAGTCTCAGAGGCTTTTATTCATGTGAACTAATGGTGCTTGGCTCAGTTTCAGTCAAAGGCACACAGCACAAGGGCACAGTGTCTGACTTTTAAGCCGACTGCCAGAGGCGTGTTTTGTGTGAGTGGTGCAGATGGAAATGGGCGGAATACATTTTCAGGCGGTGGTGTCAGCCTGGCATCAACCTTGATTGATCAAATCACCTGTTTCTTTTCAATTAAAAGCAGTGCATTTAAAATCACACAGTGATCTAGGACAAAAGCAGACCGAGAGGCACTCTAGATACTTCTGAACGTACAATGTGTGTCAACTACGATACAGAGCTTATCTATGCAGGATTAATCCGTGTATGATTAGGAATTTTAAACTACTTTCAAACATTATCTGTGCGTTATTTGAACATCATCATCGAGAGCATGATGAAGTTTTTTCTCTTAATATTAGATGTCTTGAGGCCCATGACAAATTTAAGCAGCTGTGCTTTGACCGCAACAACACTGCTATGCTAATATGATGTCATTTATTATTCTGACATATTTTAAGATAATACACAAAGAGTGTGTCTTTGTTTGGTATTTGGTTGCGCTCATGTTTCCTTGATAGTTTAATGTAATGTGTCCATTTAACATGATCCCAGCTATCCCAGCTTTGTCTTATTTACCTCTTCATATCCTTATAAAATAAAACCTTTTAACCCTCTTTAATCAGCTTCAAACCTCTGTGTTTGTCTGTCTGGGCTTTTTTATGTGGGGTCAGACTTCAGTCTTTAAAGTAGTATCTGGTGTCAAACAAGCTTGCATAATTATTAAACCAGTCAACCCAAACCCAGACTGCTATCATGGCTTAAAACACACATTTTTCTTGTATTACTGAAATTAAAAATACAGTTCTCGTGCTGTGTTCGAGTTACCTTGGAAGTCAGAAGTCCGAGCTGGGAATGATGTCACACCCGAGTTACCAGCCAGGTCGGAAGAAAGCAAAATCAGAGGCGGAAACAAGATGGCTACATCTACACAAGTTATTTTAGCCCTTGCCTGAATATAAGCAAGGACAAGATAAGCGCTTAAATAACTTTCGTAGATGTAGCCATCTTGTTTCCGCCTCTGATTTTGCTTTTTTCCGACTCGGTAACTGAAACACTGGTAACTTGGATGTGACATCATTCCCAGCTCTGACATCTGACTTCGGAGGTAACTCGAACGCAGCATTAGTGTTGAAGTCAAAGTGACAGGAAGATGACATCTACACTGTGTGAATCATATGAGATGAGATCTTGGCATTTTTGCCATTTAATGATCAACAAACTACTGCACAAATGTTTTGAATGCTTAGTCTTAAATGCTGTGTCCTTTTAGCTCTTGGGACCTTGCAGTTTATTGGGTTGAGAGTTTTATAACACCAGTTGCTTGAAGCCAACCATGTATGCGTGTGTGTGTGTGTGTGTGTGTGTGTGTGTGTGTGTGTGTGTGTGTGTGTGTGTGTGTGTGTGTGTGTGTGTGTGTGTGTGTGTGTGTGTGTGTGTGTGTGTGCGAAACTTGACCTTGCCTCTGTAGTGAAGAACAGCAGCACAGGTGTGTAACATGATAGATGTGATCCCCTTACTAGAACGCCCACAGATTAGCCGAGCCTTTTGGACAGCCGGATTTCTGTTGTAATGACTGAGGAGATGGATGGACCAGTTTAGTCATTCGTCATGTCAAAGAATAAAATACAACGCCATGAAGTTGTCAAAGAATCTCAGGCTGGGTGATAAAAAGTTGGTAAAAGGTAACAGAAGCTCAACCATATCAAAGTGGTAGATGTATCATCTTCCAACTGTGTGATTTTCTTGTTCTTTTTTCTTGTTTTCTTTGTAGATTAAAGGAGCGGTGTGAATGGCTTTGAGAGGTATTTATCTCTCTCCTCACTCCTCAACCTTTGAACTATGTCAGTGAACCTGAAGTGGCCATGAAATGTGGACAAAAGGCTCCATACAGACTACTTTACAAGAAAGCAATTTGAGTTTTTTTTACGGCCTGTGAAAACACCGATCATGTGTGTCTGTTGGGAGGTGGGGGGTTGATGTACAGTGAGCTGGTAGGTGTGCTGTTTAGAGTAGACCTGGGTGGTGAAGTGAAGCGGTCCCAGAGCCTTTGTACAGGACAAATAACGCCTCATTTCCACTTGTGTGTATGGTGTGTATAAAGGCATGAACTAAGGGTCAAGTTAAAATATGAGCCTGCTTATTAATTATGATTCATATTCAAGTAAACATTTCCATTGCAAAGTGATTTAATAAGGTGAACAGGATTTCTGCAGGAGTAATTATGTTGGCATTGCTGTTCTCATTCCGGTTATTCTACTTTGAAGCGAACTTGGGCTGACTGCTTGAGGCATAAGCTCAGTGTATGTGGTACGCACTCAGACTGCAGGGCCAGCGGCGCCCCTGGAGTAGACGCTTCTGAAGAACTTTTAAAATATTTGTTGTTTTCACACCCACTCTTTGCATTGAATAGCAACTCAAGGATACATTTGTGATTCTGCTGCCATTGCCTGGATTGTAGGATAGGATGTTTCTCCCTTGTTCCTGTTGAGCGATGATCTGGATCCTCCTCAGGCTGCCTTTACATCCGTGTCCACCAACTCTTATTTTCCCATCCTAAACACTAGCCAGAGTGAAGAGAAGGGAAGCTGTGGTCCTTGAGTCATTCTCGCCTCAAAAGCCCAGCTGCCTGGCTGATTTAAGTAGGGTGGCCATATTCTGAATCACCAAGACGAGGAGTCACAGAGTCCATGCATAGTTAATTTTGAAAGTTTTCCGGGTCAGATTAAGTGTTCTTTACACGCTTCCAACTCAGTAAGTCCATGGGTCACGATCTCAAAACTTCCATACAAAACCCCGGACATTTGAAGGATTTTATAAACTTCCCCGGACAAAGTTGGACAAGGCCAGACAGCCCCCCAAAAAGTGGGTAAAAGAGGACGTATGGTCACCCTAATTTAGGGAACCAACAAACCACTAATGTTTTTGTCTTAAACAGAAACAAATGCTCACAGAACCAAATGTTTTACCATAGTGTCAACAGGCAGAGGGGAACTGCGCCTCTCTTCTGTGGATTGATTTGATATAACCAGTGTGATCCGGTTGCGTCACAAATTGTGAGTGAAAATTTGTGTTACAAACAACTTTTTGCCTCTGTTGTGGTGATCACAGTAAACACTTCCAGTAAAATCAATGAAAGGCAAGTCAATGGTGGAGCGACATGGAAACTTAACTAATAAACACAACTGACTTACTCACATGTTATCACACATTTCTAATGATGTTGAAAGTTATATTCTATCAGTGTGACAAAAAAACAGCAACTACTCTTAATTAGACTCAAAACCCAAATTTTAAGAAAAGCCTACTCTGTAATCACTTTGTTCCATTTTATACCGTGTTTGCTTTTATCTGGTTGTTTTATCGAACTGTTTTTATCTGTAAAGTGATCTTAAATGTTGAGATAGGGGCTTATAAACAAAATATATTATGATTATACCAAGGATTCTACTATGATAACATCATCCCAACCCTTATTGTCAGTTAACGGTACAACAAAAAAACACACTTTTCTGTCCATGATTCTGTCTGTAAAGCCCATGGTCCTGATTATGCAAATTAAATGACCTGTAAAAGATGCTGCATGCCCATTTTTATGATAAAAAGATTCAGTATCGCTTTTAGCTGAGTGTAGTTAGGACATTGTGGACCAATCGAAGTGTTAGGACTGTGAGTACAGGGAGAAATAACCAGCCTGACTCTGTCCACCTATAAAAATGATATACCACAGCACACCTCTGAATTATTCAGATGCTGTTTACAGTTTGTTTCATCCATTATCAGCATATTGATATGTACTTGTTTTTTGGAGTAGCTGACTTTGTGGCTAAAACCAGCTGAGAATAATAACAGCGAGCAGCTTCCAAGAAAAAAAAAGAGATTTTCAGGGTTGGCAACCTTGACGTAAAAGAATCAGTCTTACCACCTTCAATGGCACAGTTAAACCTAAGTGAATCATAAAAGTTTATCAATGTAAGCTGTGGTGATGACTGTAAGTACTTACATCAGATGGTGTTGAGGCAGTCCATGAGCCAGAGAAGGTCCTTCATTGCTTGGTACAATTATGTTTTTGATAAAACCCCTAAAAGATTTCAGGTAATCTCAAAAGCTAAATCAAAAAGAGGATAATTCTTATTATGCTTCACAAAAGCTTTTTTGTCTTTAGAGCCGCATTTAGAAATTTGCCACAGTGATTATTTTATGTGCAAAATGAAGTTTGGAGTAAAATACTGATTTTGCTATATTTTGCCTCATAACTTTAAAAGCAAACTTGTGTATAAATTACTTTCCAGAAGTCTGAGTTCTGTCCTTGGAGGTTCCGGTACAAACGCTTAAATCTGGATAAGTGTTTTTGTCTTATTTCTGAGCAAAAGCTTTTTTGTTAGACTAAATAAAGGATATATTCAACTAACCGGGTCTGTGGTGGCCTCAACCACCATAATAAATTTGTTTCAGTTTAGAAGAATCACATTACACACTTTTGTGGTTGAAATAAATTTGCTTTCATTGCATTTATGGTAGTTGTTTTCTAACTTGTGTGCACACAATTCAATTAACAAATTGTCACATGGTTTGATTTGAGTTTATGTCATTTCAAAGTAATTCTTACCGTTTTGTTCGTCTTTGCTCGAGCTCACCTGACGAAAGGCTGACTGCAGCTCCAAAATGGCCTCTTAAGCCCTACCAACAGGAAGTGGGACAGACCATCAAGGAGGAAGCAAGGAGAAGCTCAGACTCTTGATTCTTATAGAACTTTTGTCTTTATTCTTTCATTTAGACTACAGTATTTTTTTTTTGATGGTGTTTTTCTGAGTTTGTTAGATGTTTAGTTTGTAGTCTCCTTAGTTTCCCCCTTGTGTTTGTGTTGGATTAGTCCTTTCTCTATTTAAACCCCTGACACGTATCACTCAGCAGGTCTGTTTGATTATGTTTGTCAGGTTGTAACTTTCTTTTTTTTTTTTACTGGGTTAACTCGTTTTAGTGTGGTCTCAGATTTTGTTGATTTTCTACCACATTAAGTTGAAAATTTTGTTATTGATTTCTCTTTTTTTTTGTGAGTAGAATTAACGGATCAAGATCTTTTTCCTCACCTTTGTCCTTTGCCTGGTTGCTTGGTCCCTTACAAAGTCAAACACTTTAGAAATATTACAAGCTGAAAAAAAATAGGGATAATTTCTTGTATTGAGTAAAACAAAAAGCAACAAGAGCAAATTAGATCAGAAAAACTTAGTCAAATTTTATTAAAAAAAACAAAACAGACAAATTTGACATGTTATCTTTTTACCATGATGCAGTTATTAGTCTTGTTTTGCAACGATAAATAAGAGATTGGATCTCCTTTTTTGTAAGAGTCATCTGATTTCATGAAAAGTGGCTCTGTCTACACTGTAATGATGTTGCCAATTTGCACTTAGATCATGTCGGTAAGATGTTATATTACCTTTGAGAGTGTAATTACACTTGTCAGATATTTCAGAGTCTTTGTAGAAGCTGTGAATGCCTGAGCTGTGTGGCGTGCAGAATTAATCACTAAAGAATGAACACATAGTGCTACTCTGCAAAGACACTAGGGACATCTGTCATTCAGATGAGGATGAATGTAGGTCACCGTTTCTAGTGTCTTTGCTTAGCAGGGGCCTGATTAAAGCAGCAACCTATGGCCTAAGATCTCTGCCCAGCCATCTCTGCCAAGTTACACAACATTTGACTTTTTTTTTTTTTTTTTCAGCTCTGAAGGCTGCGTGATCCTATATCCCCCTGTCACCCTGAATCCTTGCGCCGCGCCTCCTCATCTACCACTTAAAAAAGCAGAGATTGGATTACCCAACTGTCAATCAATCATCGGGGTGATGATACAAGCCCACCATGAAACATCCCAAACAGATGGCCAGCCACTACCACACGCTTGCACCCCCACCCGGCCCTAACCCGGACCTAGTCCCTTGGTAAGAGACTGTAAGCTTCTTAGATTTTTTTTCATGCTTCTCACTAATTTAGGTCTTTTCATCAAAGCGATCGTTGTGATATTATTTGTACCTACAATAACACTCATGATGCCTCCCTGTGCTCCCAAGTCAACACCTCTCATTCTCTCAATTTACAACATTTAATACTTCTGCAACAGATGAGAAATGTGCGAAAATGTCTTAATGAGTTCATTAATCCGTGGGTGTGCTTAAGACAATAGCATGCCAGGGGGCTGAGCGATGGGTGTATTTTAGGGCAGGGCAGCGACCCCCGACACCCAGGCCGGCAGGCAGCGGAGGAGGAGGCTGAGCCAGAGCAGGTGTCTCTGCTGACATCTGCTTCAGTTCACTGGGGAAACACAAGCACCCTGCAGCTACAGCACTGACAATGCCACTGAAGTGCCCAGGCTCCGTCTAAACAAGGTAGACTTTTTTCCACTTCTTCTTACAGCGCTGGGATCAGCACTTTAGAAGCTGATCCCTCATTTGTACCGTTTTTAAAGGATTTCTATTTGAGGTTTTTCAGACATTTAACAGTGTTTGCCCTTTTTCTGATGGAGATATTTTACCGCATTTGATATTTTGATACCGCATATTTCATACTTGGTTGTTCACTCATTGGTCTGTCTTGCTTTTGACACTTTTCTGCGTTCCATGTTTTTTTGCAATGTGGCGGCTTAATCCATGAAAAAAAAAAGAGGCATTTTTTATGTCACATATTAAGAGGATTCGACCCAGATCTCTTACAAACATTAAAGGAAGAAGTCTTTGGATGTTCAGTCTCATGCAATATTGATGCTGTCATGTTTACTCATCAACCCACTTTCCTCTGAATCCAATCAGGCTGACAAGACAAACCCACAAGGCTGTTGATTCAGAGGCGCTATCGATCCAAGTTTGCGTTCCACTGACCTGAGTGCATTTTTAAAGACTTTGTTGTGTAATCAAAGGCTCTGTGGATCCCCTCTCTCCTCCCTGACCTGTGCTTAGCAGATATAGCAGATGTCGCCTATATTTTGTTCTCGCAGCTTCTATATACAGCACTGACAGGCTTTTTCATTAAATTGGATGTTTGCACTAATCGGACATTGATTCTGCTGTGAGCTTCTCAAACAATATCTTATTATAGGATAAAATATGACAGCCAGTGGAGGTGGTGGCATTTCTGTGGGGGGTGGAGGGTGGGGTGGGGGTCTGACACGAGTACCTGATAGGGATTCTGAGCATGCACTGCTGTGGCAAGGAATCCCACTCCATATGTGTCGTGTAAATTAAAGAATCCTTGATCATATCGCAATCATTTGACCTATTTAAAAACTTGGGGAGCTGAGGAAGTCCTCGATGAGTGAGGACTGCTGTTTGATTCGAAAAAGATCAAGCATGCTACATTTCGGATCTCTAGGCTTCCTCAGATGTACGTGAAGACCCCAGAGGTTATACAGAGTTCTGCAAACAATAGAAATTGAATCGATTTGTGTCTAAGGCAGTTCTTGCTTTCTCTTTCCCATTGTTTGCTCTGTTGTTCTGGGCTCAAGACAGTTTCATTCTGCTCACACACACACAGTCTCACACACACAATGACTGTCTACCTGGCAAATGCCTCTGCTTATATCTGAGCAGCCAATAAGCGCCTGTAAAAGTAAATGTCAGGAGGTGAAATCGATCCAGGTTATAGACTTTTGCTTTGTGTGCTCTGGCAGATTCAGGTGTCCTTCTGGTGCTGAGTTATGGATGTTGTAAGGAATATAGGAAGGCAAATTTAGGAAGAATATTTATCTGCAGATTGTATCCCGTAGATTTAGAGAAGCAGGTTTGGTGTCTGGAAGCATGGTTGTACGGCACAATGGTTTTTAAATAATGAGTTTTTTACTTCTTTGTTTTTTTAGTTTGCAATGAAATATATTTTGTTGTAAGGCACAGTGCTGGAAACCACTGATGTAACGGTTTGCTGCACTTTCTTGCACAATACTTTCTCGCTCGGTGCTTGTCCACCAGTACGTGTTTTGGGCTGAAAATATTACTGTCTAATCCTGTGATATTTTGATTCAAATGATGGGAAAGGTTTGTGGTGTTGGTTGTCTTAGTTGGCACATGTCTTTGGCACAGTTTGCAGTGCACAAAGCTCTGTTTGTCTGGCTGTGAATAGCCAAAATATCTCTGGATTATTGTAGTTCAGTCACCTTACTTGCAATAATGTTTTTACTCTTTAGGTTAAGCAGGGAGGCACTGCTTTTTTGTCTCCGAATGTCTGTGGTCTGGCTTCCTCCACTGATTTGCATTTCTTCTTCCTCTTCTTCTCTCTATTGTTGTGTGTCAGCTAGCACTTAAAGGGCACTAATACCTCTTTTTCTGGTGTTGTAATTCCAGGTTTAACCATTTTAAACTTTAATTGAACATTTATTGTATTTGCATGAAGAAATTTGACTGATCATTGTCATTTTCTTGCTCAGTTCTATTATACAGTCTGACATTATGTGACTTGGGATGTCCTAATTCGTGATAACAGAAGTAAAAATGAAAAACAAAGTAGAGAGGGTTAATAGTTGTCTACTTTTTAAAGTAATTGATAGCTGGTAAATTGAACATTGGTGTTGTTGAAGGAGGTTTTTATGGAGTTGATAGACTTTTGTACTCTGAGAACTTAAATTTGGGGTACAATATCAAGATAAAAAACACACAAATGTCCTTTTTTTTCTTATTATTTTGGATCGATAAACTGCTTCGTAAATAGCAGACTTGTGGCCTTGGCAAAATCTTGACAAATAAACAAGGTAGTGGTGACTTATGGGGGCTGATCCACGGGGCAGAGGGCTTATTTGTGGAGACAGGGGTCCCTCCAGCTTGAAGTCACTGCTGATCTGGAATCAGCCTGTCTGGGGACAGGATTAGGGGCTGAGTGTGGAGGTGAGGACTTGCAGATAGATAAACGGCCAGAGATTGAGAGGCACATGCAAACAAACGCATTATCAACAGGACTAATTTACCTAACGTTTCTGAACACATGTCCACTGCAGTTCGATCTGCTCCTAATCCCCTCAGTGCTGATCCCTGAATATGCTGAGATTACAGGGAGAACATAAAATGTATTCAGCATTTGAAAAGTCATGTTTCTACAATAGACAGATACACTCTCTCCTTTATTTATTCAATACTCGCTCAGCTGATCGTTTTAATCAGATTTGGTTGATACTGATGTAAATACACTCAGTCTCCACTCACCCTCTGGATTTCATTGATTCAAAACATTGTTATTTTCAGCTCATTTATTGCATTTAAAAGTTTACGCCATTTCATGCCGTCATCATTTTGTGGTTTTAAAAGCCCAGATTAGCCTTCATCCTGCTTATGAGGAATCCAAATGAGATGGCTGGGATATAGTGTAATTAGATGGGATACAGAGCATGTATGCACTTTATCCAATTTAGGACTGGATTTAGATGTCGTTGTTAATTGAGTTTTTGGGACAATAGCCGTAATATCTTTAAAGCATGTTGGTGACTAATTAACTAAAACACACAAACAGACTCCCTGTCTGGAGCTTTTCTGCAAGCGTGGCAAAGTGAGTTTCCAAGATATTTTTAATTAAAGGTAATTTTTATATATGCTGCAATTGATTTTGACATTCTGCAAACAGGTTTTTAATTAAAATCAAATAATTAATAATAAATAATAATAATAAATTTTATTTATAACGCGTTTTTACAGGTGCTCAAAGATGCCTTACAAAGAAAAATAAGAAATTAAAATAAAAAACAATTTAAAATATAGAGAATTTTGAGAAATAAAACCAACAGTGTAAAAGGTTAAAAAAAGACACAATATGAGAAGACAAGAAAAGAACAGTTCACAGGTTAAAAGACAATTTTTAAAAAGTTGTGTTTTTAGGAGTGATTTAAATGTATGGGGGTCTGTACAGTCTTGGATGGGTTTGGGGAGTGAATTTCAGGGGGTGGGGGTGGCAGTGGAGAAGGCTCTGTCCCCCCAGGTTTAATGCTTGGTCCGAGGGGGTAGGGCAAGGAGATTTCCCTTTGAGGATCAGAGGGCACGGGAGGGGGTGGAGTGGTGGAGCAGGTCTGTGAGGTAGGTGTTAACTGTTAAAACAATTAGTGCCTATATAATGAATTTAACTTAAATCAGAATTAAGAAAAAATATTGTGCTCGTGTATATATCTTTTTGGGCAAGTTTATTATGATAATAATGATAATCAATAAATAAATAAATAAATTAATAATGATAATAATAATAATAATAATAATACATTGTGTTTGTTTTTGACGTACACAAACAGGAACCTCTCATTTCTTTGACAGCTCTGTTATGTAATTGATTAGATATTTGTTTTCTATTAACACCCCTATAATTAATCAGTCATTTCAGTGCTTTTCTATGTAAAATATAAAAAATAAAACTGTTTTGAAATTAACAAAGATAGGGTAAACAATTCATAAAATGTGTTGTAGTGGTAGCTTTGGACCTGGAATCACATCTCAAAAACATGAGTGTGGAAAGTTTTTCCATCATACGGACATCTGCCGTTGTTGTTGACAAAGTTGAAAACAAAAGTCCCAGCCTTTCTCAATTTTGATTGATTGCCTAAAGAGAAGCAGCATGAAGCTCAGCATTGTTCCAAAAGCTGAAACACTTTTTAAGTTACAATTCTGAGAAAAAAAAAAACAGCAAACATTGAGGGCATGTTAGAGTTTTGGACAGTGGGTGATGAAACCACTGTTGGAAACATTGGTTGTGTAACTAAAATACATGCTGCCAGCACAAAAACAGTGTGAATTGACACAACTTCTTTGGTGCTGAATAATAAATCCTGTTGGTTTTGTTTGCAAGTTTCCCTCCTGTATTATTAATTTCTCACAGCTAACTAAAATCTCTTTAGAGCTTTAAGCTAAACTTGTTCTTATCAAATCATGTCCAAGTCTAGCCTGCAGAGTTCAGCTGAACTTACTTTCACACAAAGCATGTCACTGAATCCCTAAAAGCTGATGATGTGTAACACAGAGGTTGGTCATTTTGGCCTTTGACTCCTGAGGGATCAGTTACTCTCCAATCTGTCCTCACCAAGAGACTGCCACATCCTCTGAGAACACATGGTGGATGAAGCCTTGACCCTGTCCAACACACCCACAACCAACCCCCCCAAACACACACTCATCCATCTATCCCAACACATCTTTAGCTGTGTGTCAACAGCTACTGTGTTTCGCTCTTCACTGAAGAATCCACAAAGTGAAGCTTTGAGTCAAATTGTTTTCTTAGTCTTTGAGGGGAAAAAAGGACAGAGATGAAGGAAGAAGGTTAAATGGGGGATGAAAAACACTGTGAGCAAAGTCTGTTTAAGGATGGAGGAGGAGGCTGGCGTGCACACACGAACGCACAAACACACAGGCCCCTCCAGCGAGCAGATATGCATGAGATTTAGTTCCCTTTTGAATATGTAATGAGTTTAACATGCATGATGAGCTGGTGGTTGATTCCTGGTGAAGCAGCTGTGATCCATGCAGCATATTCAGGATTATCTGTCGCCGAAGATAACGGGCAGAACAAAGCCAGGGAGAGCGCTGCAGGCGAAGGAAACCCGCGCCCTGCTCAGCAGAGCTAACCTCTCCCAGCTTTTTCATTGGAGAATTTCCCCCACATTACCTTAGCATGCCTCCAAGCTGCAGCAACTTCTGTGGCCTTGAGGAAGGTAACGTTGGCTCAGGAGGCGCCTGAGCCTTAGCTAACATCGTGTTTGCAGCGAGTCTGAGAAGTGAAGGACAAAACTTTTTAAAGCTCAGTCAGACCTCAGATAAACTGTATCTGAAGGTAGAATTTGTACTTATCAGACACTTTTCCTCTGCTTGTATTTCTATGTAACAGTTTTAGTTGTGCAAGCACCCAAACAGTGCTGTAAAAAAGCAATTGTCTTTTTTGAAAAAACATTTAATCAAAAGTTAGTCTTTATAGCTCACTTTTAGTAACAAGACGGTACAAGTACAGAACACAGTTGGACCATGGATCAGAAAAACATGACAAGAGGAGGAAGATTTTTTTCATGGTATACTTGAGAGAGAAATTTGGAAAGTGGAAAATAGAATTGAATACAGTTTCGTAGATAAAGCCGAAATGTTGGAGGGAAAAAAGTCTAAA